GGCTCAATTTCAAGTCCGCTTCTTCTGGGTGAAGTTAGTCTTAATGTTCCCTCCCGGGTATCAATACACTTTTATCCCCTATTTCTGAAAGCTTGTAAAACTAATTTTGAATTGCACGACCCACTCCGTTGCTTATGCCAGGATTTTAACTCTCATTCCAGCACGATTGATATATCAGATCCGCTTTTCAGCATTAAGAAAGCTGTATTCTCCTTTCTCAATAAATGAATTATTAACATAAAGACATAAAATCAGCTGATGAATTTAGTTCTGTAGCTGAACAGTTTTAGATCTCGACACTTAACAAACTCCTGCCTATCGTGACTCGGCACAAAAATTGAAAATACTGGTTCCGTACGTCATACGGATTGTGCCCCTCGTGCGGATAGGCGGGAATGGAGGGTAAAAACCGTTGGGATTATTATTAATAAAAATTACGCACTGATCACGCGTTTTCTCAAGAAGATTTTTCGGCAATGATAAGTAGCACATTGTCCTTTAACTTAGGATTCTTCTTCTGAAGAATTGAGTAAGTATATTTTATACCCATAAATCTAAAATAAAATAAATTTTTTATAAAATACGCGAAATACAGCTACAGTTGTAAGCAGAAATTTTTATCGCATTTGGTAACTGCCACATTTGTTTAATACCTGTCATTTTATTCCTCAGAACTTACAAATAAATGTCTGAAAACCCCGAGCTTTAGGTCTGACCGCTCAAGAAGTTATACCTTAATAAAAAAATAGGTTTTGTGCGAGTTGCTCTAGAAATTTCCTGATTTTATCGATTTTAGCAAGTAAACTGGTAATTTAAACCGTTAGTTTTGTTTTTAATATTTATTAATTAATATTATATTTACATATATCAGTATTATTAACGAAGGTATAGAAACCGCACTTGGCAGTGCAGCTGCTTTGTGGCGGCAACAATATGCCACTACGCAAAATGTCCCCGTTTCAAAAGGTTTCCCATATATGTATGTATGTTCATGTGTACCTGCTGCAAAGTANAAAAAATAGGTTTTGTGCGAGTTGCTCTAGAAATTTCCTGATTTTATCGATTTTAGCAAGTAAACTGGTAATTTAAACCGTTAGTTTTGTTTTTAATATTTATTTATTAATATTTACATATATCAGTATTATTAACGAAGGTATAGAAACCGCACTTGGCAGTGCAGCTGCTTTGTGGCGGCAACAATATGCCACTACGCAAAATGTCCCCGTTTCAAAAGGTTTCCCATATATGTATGTATGTTCATGTGTACCTGCTGCAAAGTATGCATTTACAAATGGGAATATTTTTTTAAAACTGTGCTTTAGAATGTACGCTAATTTGTTTTGAAAAAGTGCACCAAGACTAATGTGCGAATATGTCCCCTATACATATATATAATAGTACCCTGAAATGCTATCAATAGAGCTTGCTTTTTGATTATTTATTTTGTTGTATAATTACGTATGTATGTAAATACATCGGCGTAGCCAGAATGAAATTTAGGGGGGGG